AAATATTTGAAAATAGGCGCTCACAATGTAAAACATTCACTATACCTTGCTACTTGTAATTTATCTCTAAAATTGAACAATCACACAACAATATCTTCCAATGAACAACGCTTCAAGGAAATTTTAACACCTAAAAGTAATTAAGGTCACAAAGTTCTTTTCCAGCCATACATTTACATTCAGCTACATTTACATTCAGCTACATTTACATTCAGCAATTAAGATTGCTTCCAGGGTATCTTCAGTTTGATTCTCGTCGACTAATAAAACGAAAGAAAATTAACCGACTGTACTTTTCCTTTCCATACTTATTAAAATGCTCTACAGGCACAAATTGGTTTGGACTTCGATCTACCGAAAGTCCTTCGTCCTTAGTTATGGATCAGTCACTTGCCTTCCTTCCTCGGTTTAGTCTCTGGTTGCGCCTCTGGAGTGTACGGGCCAATCAGAGATCCGAGCAAGCAAGGATAATCGGGCAAAGCCCCTTTTTTGTGGTGGATACCCTTCGTCAGAGTCACTCCAATTCGCATGAAGAGTAATTTTTTCTCTCTATTTCAAACTTTGGCAATTAAGTTATCCAAGAGATTATCTTATCAAACTTCGGCTTCTTATCATAGATTAGAGGGATAAGCATCACCCTGGAGGAGTTCATATTGCAAGCAAGAAGTGTAAAAAGGGAAAAAGTTCAGCTTCTTTTCCTTCTACATATTTCAGGAGCTTACTCGAGAAAAAATGTAGTTTGGCTGCTTAGTTTTTAATCCAGACAATTCTTCTGCCTTTCCCTTATAATTGTGCGCACCAAGTTTCAGGGAAGGGGAGAGTCTATTTTCATTATGTTAATACAGGTTAAATGATAATAATAATAATAATAATAATAATAATAATAATAATAATAATAATAATAGTAATAATAATAATAATTTAGTTCGTATATTGCGCGCTTTCCATGACATGATTAAGCGCGCATTACCTAGCTCTTATTAACCGAGTGGGAGATCTGTATGGGAGAATCTTGATCGAGGTCGCCAGGAAAGACCGAACGCAGTGAGGTCTGTACCAGCGACCAAAGTCAAGATTCTCCCATACAGACCGACCTAGCTCGGTTAATAACATGTTTATTATATGGCTGTGTCTTATATGCCAAATTTTTATATTCTTTGTACCTTTTTTTCTACACCGGTCTAGATGCCGGTCTAGATGGGAAAATTTAGACCACTTTCAATATTGATTTCTGCCGATCAAATTCCTGAATTCGGCAGTTCCTAGTCGTTGTGAGTTACAGCCATATTATAAATCTTAATAATAGTTATTAAGAATATACTATGATAAAATTAAAGCATACAACATATGTTAAGATACTAGCAGCTATCATGATAAAATTGTAATGACAATTAATGAAAAGCTTCCTTAAAGAGGTGCGTTTTCAGGTGGAACTTAGAAATCCCTAGATCTGTATTAGAACGAATCTCACGCGGCAATGCATTCCAAAGTCAATGGGGAGGGCCAAAACGTTGCCAAGAATTGGAAAACAGAGCATCCCCCCTGGCGCAGAAGTCTCACATTCTCCTTGATGTTTTTTACTACAGATCATTTTTAAAACCTGTCCAGGTGTGATATGACAAGTAGATCCTGAACAAAGTTAAAAGCATAACCCTTTGTTACGAACCTATCTCGCACACTTTCAGGATCCTCTATATACCAATGGATTGTTACGTACCTATCTTGCGCACTTTTAAGATTCTCTTTCATTGGATTTTTAGGTACCTATAGGATTCTATTTTATCTTTTACTCAGCTCGTGAGCGGGCGGTATTATATAAATCCTATGATCTGATTGGTTCCGAGAGCAGGCAGTATTCTGCCATCGACCCGCTCACAGCGGGCGGCATCCTATCCATTGCGTGTTCAGCCGCCATGTGCATAGTTAACGTCGTTGAAAAATTTCATAATTATATTTTTTTCCGGCTGGTCAGCATTTTTAAGCAAAGATTTCGGTTACGACCTTTAACCTTTCTCTCTCTCAATTAAAAAAAAATAAAAACTGGTTTGGTACTGAATGTGTTTTTGTAGTAGATTGACATGCGGCCATAAAACCGTTTGTAATCCAATAATCCTTCTCAAAACGTAACTAAGAAAGTTTAAACGAGAGGAACTTGACGTTAACAATTAGTTTTATCATTGTTACTTCCATGCATTTAATTTCACAATTCTACAAAGCAATTTGTTTGTTGACGGTAGGATGTCGAAGGAAGGTTTGAGTTCTGCTATAGATGAAACTTCGATATTTCTACTGTACATTTCACAACAAAAACGGAAGAAATACGATGACTAAAAGTCGCATTATATCCCCTTGTGTCTTAGTAGAAGAAGCATGTCATTTGACTTCAAGTGCTCGGTGGAAGAAAAATTTTACAGACGCCGTTACAGCAAGCAAACAAGCAGACTCTCATAACTTCAGAACATACATTTGAATGTACTTGCAATTTGACTTTCCTTGACATTTAAAACTGAGCAGAGAGAGTAATTCTTTGTAGATTAATCGTCGTTGAAAGAGGAAAATTCTTTCTGTAAAATTAGTGAAGATAAAAAGGTTACAGTCAAAGATAGTCATTTACCTCGAGTTTACTTGCTAAAACAAGTGCTTTGTCTTTATCAAAAGTTTCAGGGGGCTTATTTTTTTTTTTCTTACGCGCTTTCTAATTGACAGTTATCAGATCGTGAGAGATACTTATAAGAAAATTTTTCAATATTTGCTGGGAAACCTTTTAAATCACCCTTATCAGTACGCGGATAAAACTGTTTCAATGAAGCCTCTCTTTTTAAACTGCATTACCTCTGTTTTTTCTCTTATCTACTCGCTCAAAAATTGTTCCGTTCATGGGGGATCTCGCTGTCAGTTACAGCCCTAGGTTATTCAGGTTCTTTTTACTAGCATTTCGCTAAGTTTAAGAAAAAGATAAAAATGTTATTCACCATCCTGGCTCGGTCCGTACTGCGTAACAATGTACACTTTGGAGGTGCTTGCTGACGATATCAAACAGCTTACTGGTGTAAACCGTAAAAAGAGGAAGCCCGAGACAACCTCTTTGAGGATCTCCTTGGCTGAGTGGAAAAGCAGACTATAGGCCATCATTTATTGTGACACGTGAGGCGTGAGTAGTCCAGTGGTCAGTGCGCTGAACTCTGGGTCGGTTGGCCCAGTGGTTAAGCATTGGTTTCAGTAAAGCCTCCTTCCATTCGCTAGCAAATTCGCCGGTTTCGACTGACAAGTTAATCATGTTCTTGATCACAGGTAA